AAAAACAGCTTCCGTCGGCTACTAGTGGAAAGCAATTGGATCCGGAGCAGGCCTTCGCGATGGCTATGGGACAGACGGACAAGGCCTCCGTAGGCAACGGCCTCCGGATGCGTATCAAGGAACACAACTTGAATCGGAGGAGGAAAGTCAGCGTACCCGAGTTAGGTCCTATGACGACGGTACAAGAGGTTGCGATGGATTCACGTAAGTAGATAACTCTCGGGATGTATATCTGATATTAACTGAGAGCAGCAACGATTCCGGGCCGGCCTGCGTTGCATGAACGATCCATCAGTACTCCTGTCAACAGTTGGCGCCAGCGTCACGTCTTAGAGTTTACCACGACCTCCGTGAAAGAGTGTCCGGAGGAGAACCAAGAGGGTTCTACAAGCAGAGATGTACAGACGTCTACTTCAGCTCCAAAGCAGCCGCTTTCTCCAAAGGTCCTCGCGCCCTTAACGATACCGACGCAGAGCGGTCCGATTCCAAGACTAGCCCGGCAGCTTTCGTTAAGCCGACTTAGATCTAGGGATACGCAACAGGAGCCGGCAATTCGATTAACACGGACTGAAGAATCACCGAAAACACGCACTCCATTTACACCTGCTTCAAGCTCGGTCTCAGCCACGACTCCTATGTCAGCGACGACTGTTACGACTAACTCGACGCTCCCGACACCACTATCGGCACCTGCAGAATATCGAGGTTCTCCAAAGCCATGGGACAGGCTGGGTTCAACCACGCCTGTAACCACTATGCAGCAAACCATTGATTCCATGGCCACACCCAAGGTAGAGCCTGAAACGCAATCACGAGCTAACCTGACTCCGTCTCATAGACGTGGTCGATCCGACTCTGGGAGTATCATGGATCGCGGACGTCCACGAAAGCGAAGTGATGGCACACCAATTGGTAATAGTAATAGTAATGGAAATGGTGGCGGTTTAAAACGAAGCAGTTCTAAAAGGAGCGTCAGTGCTGAACGCCGTGCTGAACGTCTTGCTTTCGAAAACCTACCCCAGGGATGGAAGCCCAGTGAAGCGGTAAAGAACATGGACTCATCCGAAGTTGCTTATTTGCAAAAACAAGCCCTAGGCCAAACTCTGAGGTTTGAAGTACTCAAGAAAGATGATGTCGAAAATCTCTCCAGGGTAAGTTTCACATCTCTTAGCATTGCTGTCCATAGTCTAATCGTTCATAGGAATTACGCCACCTCGATGAGCGAACAGAATATCTTCGTCGCACATATACATCTCTTCGTGCTGGGCGCCGAAACCTTCACAGCCGCATTTGCCAGTACTTGCGGTCACCTCGTGTTGCTAAATTTAGCTACGAGTCCATGTTGAAGCAAGAGGAAACTCTTGCCGAGCTTGATGCTTCAATTGATGATTGGGTTACGAAACTCGAACAAGCTGAAAACCGACGGACTCGTGTCAGACAAAAGCTCTTAGAGCATGTTGCCGCCGCCTCCACACTTTCGGTAGTTAAAGACATCGGCGTCACAAGTGACGTTCTTCAACAGGTTATGGGTGTTCGGCTACCCAATGGAACTTCGGATATCTCGACGCCACCTCGGAGCCCAACCAAGACTAATACTTCTACTCAGTCTCTGTCCCCATCGCCATCGTCGTCACCGCAACGTGTCGTCGCCCGAGTACCTTCAATGATCCCCGAGCTACCATCTGAAGAGGCCGAGGACGATGTAGAGAACGACAACCGAAAGAGTTCGATGGAATCCACTATACAGCGAATGGAGAGCATTCGCATTTATGCCGATAGTGATGTCTACGCTCTCCTAGCTGATGTCGAAAATGAATTCACCAAATTGAACGTCGGTATTGCAGACTCGGAGCTTACTGGATCACCGCAATCAGAGGAGGAGCGTAGAATTCTACATCGCGCCCACAGTCATGATATTATCAGCAACCAGTATTCGAAATGTCTTAACAAGACGCCACCTACCTCGCCTCCTGCACCTGCGCCGCCGATGAAGAACTCCCCTACCAGAGAGCGAGCCGATATTTTCTTATCCGCCGCCGTTTTCCAACCGGATCGAACCCCTTCACCCAATTAAATTATATTATATTTCTTCGATGCTCATGCACGCTCATTACTTGTATTACTTAGACTTGCAAAGCCCATTCTTTGCTTTGCCTAACGACTTATTACGTTCCTTTTTTTACATCTCCATGACGATCGACGATTTACGGCCGGCCACAGCGATCTTTTGCATTCTTACATTACACTTCAAGTCATTCCTTTAGACATTGGCATTTACGACCTTAGACAACCAGGCGTTCTCACATTTTAACATACCTATTTCTTTTACTACTTATCAGGAACTTTCTTTTTTCATTATTCTCTATTTACTGGACTTTCCTTAATTCTCTCATCTCTCAAGGCGTTAGGGTTGTCCCCGGATTCTTTTTATTTTTATTTATTTTTACATGTCTCTGATATTGACGGGCACCTCTATACCCAGTGCGTTAGGTACCGTTCAGTGCGTCCTCGAGGCTGAAAAGGATTACTATTCAAGAGTGTATTTTTTTTCCCGTCTTATTTTGGCATAAAGGGGTCGTTTGAGGTTGCATGGGTTAGTGTGTAGGATTCGTTGTATGGGAAAGGAAGGGAGGTATTATGGTACTAAAAGAGTGTAACATGGTCCCAGAGACTCAATTACCAACAATATCTAGGCCGCTTAGGAGCTCGAGGGCCCAAGACGAGATAGATCCTCCGCCTGTAAGCGGCTCAACTTGTTAGCATAGATTTACACTATCGCTATAAGACTATTGGTCAATAAGAAAAGACTTCTGCCACAATCCTCATGCTCTACTCCATCAAGATGCATATCTCGTAACCATCAGTGATACGTCAATAGATTTTTTTGAGACCTTCTCGTTTCAATTTTCCGATCTACATGCTAAAGATCATCACCAATCGAATCGAGCAGCTGTCGAGATCTTGTGCTAATATTCACCATCTCGTTGAGCTGAAGAAACATCAAATCCTTCCCGTCTACCGATCAGACAAAACTCCGCCGAGAACCAAGATCCTTCGAGACGACGTTGGGTAGAGTCCCACGATGCAGCGTTCTCAGGATTCGTTTCTGCTGCGCCGCCACGAGTCGCCAACCCGCTTATTACGCTTTATTATTTGCAGACGCCCTCGGTACATCGCGGATCCTCCAAACATTAGGTGCATACATTCCTTAGTATTCGTCCCATCTCAATCTATCTGCTCGTCGCCCAGCTTCCCTAACCCGGGCGTACAAGGACGCCCCTCTGAGGAATCCTTTCGGCGATACGGGCTCGCTGTGCTTAGATAGGTAGGCATGTAGACTTGAGGGATATGGAGAGTTATCGGCGATGCCTTGGACGGCAAAGAGTCGTAGGAAAAGAGGAATATACATACATAGGTACCTAACGTAGTAAGCTAATGTTTGGGAAGACCTCTTCTCGGATTTCTCTTGATACTATCCCGCCGATAGGGCTATAAGTCCGATGGCTATTTCCATACTAGCCTATTACACTTTTTCGATTCGGCCGGTTGGGCGAACTCAGCTCGCACAAGAAACGCAAGTTCTTTCAACGGAGCAGACTTTTGTTTGGGATGTCTGCCTGGTGTGGTGTCTTTCGGAAGGGTGCAAATTCGGCCAGTTGGATCCACAATGTGCTCACACGACTACACTCGAGACGGCCGGTTCAGACTTCAAGGTTAGATACCTAGGTTGGAGGGCGAAGAGTCCAACACCCATCTGCTAGGCAATCTACAGGAGACACGCCCCAAACCCATCACGAGGTCTATCGTTACTTCAGCTAAAGCCAAGACGACCTCGAAGAGTATGAAGGCATTACAGGTGATGTTGTCTTTACTACATAAATATCGTTGCCGTAGAATGTGGGGGCTGCTACATGGGTTACACGTGCGAGTAGATTGCCTACCCCTATACACCATCAACACTCATACATATACAATTAATTACCTAGGTAGTCACGCCGTAGGATATACGTGGAGCTTATCGCCAGTAACTCAATATAATCAAATCCCACTACCACATCCTCTCCTACCCCAACACCTCACCACCACCAATCACCGAGCTCCTACAGCTACAATCCAACTGCGTCATTATCCCGAGAGGGTCACTTACGGCCGCATACACCGGCCGTCAGGAAGAGGCCCTAACCCGGATCTACGCCGAAGTATCTTTCGTTTCGACAGTAGTAGCGTCACTAATGAAAATGCAGTTCCAACTGCGGTGCAACGTACAAAAGACCCGGCATGCCCTATGTCAAGCTTGGCTTGGCTCGATGCAAATGCAGATGCAGAGTTAATTTTAGATACTACCTACATATGTATGTACTAACTTACAGCTTGTGGTTACGAGATAGGTAGGCTTCAAGTAGGGTAGGTAAAGACATTGTGTAGGGTAGTGTCATGTAGGTGGGTATTGAGGTTATACATATATGATGGATGTACCTATCTATCTATCTACCTAATGTACGTTGGTAGGGAAGATACATCCGCATCCGCATCTACATTTACATTTACGTTTACATCTACATGTGCGTAATGTATGTAAAGTCCCGACAGGCGTAAGGCGGTCTAAACCCCTGATGCAGGGAGCGCGGCAAAGGGGGCAAACCCAACTGCGGCTGCTACTGGACGCCGACGTTTTACGCTATGCACCTCTTGCATGAGGTGAAGAATTCGTTTCGTTTCGTGTGGTGGGCCCTCTTCCAAGGGGTCGATGTAACTTAACCTTAAGCATGTACCCAAGGTATTTTAATGTCGGTACGGCACGTGTCGTGCACCTCCGGTTTTATGGAGTTTGAAATCTTTGGGTTGCAACTTGGATTTACATTGCAGAAATGCAAGCATGAAAGCAAGATATATCGCATATCATGATCTGATTATCGTCGCTGATGCATACAACATGAGGGGTTAGACTATATGATTATAAGACAAGTATAAGAATATCTAGGTGGATACTTGAATTGTCTATTAAATTATTATACATGAATAATATGTGGAGTTTTACCTCTCCACGGATGGTAGCATCACAGGATTCGTTGGTCTTACAGCAGCTGGCGTAGAAATCGGCCTCAAGTTACTTACTGTAACGGTGTTACACTATTCTCGGTACCAACCTATGTAAGATCACGAGCCTGCAACGTGACTTAGTCACTGAGCGATCACTACGGATTTCTTCAACAAACCTGTTGGGTGTTTGATCACGTACATCGCATGTGGGCTGGTAGAAGTATAGGTACGTACGCACACGCAGGTAACAAGCGGGGGGATTTGCTTGGGGGAGGTGGGGGACTCGTCTGAGACTTTTGATAATTCAGGATGTGTATACACGGTAATTATGCAATAATCGAGAGCATCGTGCATTAAACAAAGCAAGCTATGCTCGACATAATCAAGGTCAGGTCCCAGGGTGTAAAGTACCAGAATCTACCAGACTCGCCCAGTAGCCACCCATCTCTGCTGCAAGCGTCTCGGCCGTCCGGCCTTGATTATCTGCAAGTGCTCGGATATCTTCCGAGGCCAACGTGCTCGGCCGCTCGATTCCCATCACTTGTGCTATTTGCACGGCCTGCCCGGGGAACGATCCCGTAGGAAGGGTTGAAGCTATCCACAAAAGAAACCAGACGACTTCCTCTTGCCCCTTTTCCACCGCGATATGCAGGCCAGTCTGCGAGTCTGCTAACGGGTCTTTATAGCGGATAATGCTTGCGACATTCATTGTAGGCTCGTCTCCTTGCGCTTGCTCCGCATCGCGGAGGAGCTCTACTATTCCGCCTACATCGCCCTCCCTGCACATGATGTGAAAGGCGCGAGCAGGACGAGCCTCGGGGTTTGCTTCTAGATAAGCCTCCTCGGTGATTGCAGGGAGAATATCGTAGTTCTCCTGAATGCCACCTTCGCTGGTATATCTTGTTAGGATAGCTGCGCCGGGTGCGGATTGCACAAACGAGCTACTAAAGGAAGGCCCTGGTGTGTACGTGGCGAGCCCTGTATCACATGAAGGGCACTTAAGCGACACGGCCAACCCCGCTGCCTGGTCGAGAAGGCATTGCCAATGATAATGGCATCCGCAAGTGAGTTCCAGATCGTCAGGCACCAACTGCGGCTCATCGTTGTCATCATCACCATCCAATTCCAGCGTCAGGTCCTGCTCGCAAACCTTACAAGCAGCCATTTTTGTAATGCGTGGTTGATATCTGACAAGTTTGGTCCAATGAGAATGAGAACGGCTAGAGACTAGAGAACTAGCAGAATATGAATGTGGTCCAAACCCAGGTGTCTGTATCCATCACAGGTGAGAGATGGTCCAGAAAAACGATTGGGTCGGAGGACAAGATCGATCCATCTCTGCCATCCGAGTGCATCCACGCACTATGGTGGAAAGAGTTGCAGGATGCAAAGAAGATGGCAGCGTTGAAAAGCTGAAGACACCGCAAAGACTTACCACTGGGTATTGATTGGTTAATTTAAAATAGCGAAAACCTGAAATTGAGAATACAGACCGGTAGTTCGACCGGCTTGGTGATGTTTTATACGGCGCAATTTATTATAAAATTATAAAAAGCAACAGGTTAATATGAAGACTTTCTTGCATCACTTCGGATATCAAGAACAAGCTAGAATGGCGAAAAGAATAAAAATAAAGTGGCCCGCATTTTTGATGGATTTATATGGTTCCGGCCCGACAGCCGAATATTAGGTGAGCTTTGGAGGTACATAGGTACATGGGTAAAATAATATTAATGGATCCCCCGTAAACAAAATCGGGGGCCTCGATCACATCTACAACTCCGGAGCCAAGGGAACTAACATCATTGGTAATTGTTATCCAATAGTTCCAAGTCAGCTCAGCTGTGCAAGGGGGGAGGATAATCCATTACAAACATTACAAAGCAAAGCAACTGTGACCTGTGGTCTATAGTTACGATGTCGTGGAGCACAAGAATTGCCTATTCTTCTTCAAAGAGATAGTTGTCCGTTATGCCCTCCCTTAGTTACTAGGATGCTGTGTAAAAGTTTGGTTCTCCGAGCCGAGGATTCGGTCCAAAAAAAAAAAAAGCTAAACTTAGAGATGAGGGAGCACGATGTTATACCCATAGCTAGCTGAAAGCTACGCTTGGATTTTTCATCTACCACGTAGTATTTTATGACTGGGTATTCTAGCTCTAAAGATAAGAACCGTCGTCGTTTAATTTCGTGTGGGAACTTGTCGTTAAGCGAACCCTCTAGGAGAATTGCTCCGGACGAGGCTAGATTCTTCGGGTTTGTCTTCTCTACGTTACAAAGCTAGTTGCCATTGTTGAACCTTGAAGTGCCATGTGGCAGCGGATGAATCCGGTAGGTAGTAGAGTCGACTTAGGGCTTAGGCGCCTTTGTGGATAGTGGCTATCGTCACCTTGTTGGTGGCGTTTAAGGCTAAAAATCCCCGACTACTAGCTATAGATTTTCTATTTGGACGTCTAGATTCGCCATCAACGCGTATATGCGTATGTAATCTAAGCTATTAAGGGTAGCTCGTCCGACAATTAGTATACTCGAGTCAGTCTAAGGCTATGAAGCGCCGGTCTATAATACCCCTATCTGACCCCGGAGTTATCCTAATTGTTCACTTAGCCTATTAGGAGCTGTTGCCAGTGTAGCTGAATAATAGTACGTGAAAGAGTAAGTAGAACGTTATGGTATAGACGAAATATATTGAAACGATTGTTATTCTTGTGCCTCACTAGTACTTTTGTTGGTCTAAATCCACTCTATATGCCGTGCCCAGTATCAGACAGGTTATTTACATTTGCCGATGCTGCGCCTGGCAGTCCCCATTCGACCTCATTGAACCCTCCCCCCTTTTCGGAGGGCTCCTATCAACAGGTTTTTTTTTTTCCTTTTTTGAAAATCGTTCGCAAGTCTATGACCCTATATGTTTACAGTAACGACGGTGTTTCCCTTGATACCCATGTTAACGCCCTTGATGTTCCGGTGTCGCCTGCTTGAACCCTCCCCTTGGCCCTGATACTCGCAGAAAAAAAATCTCATACTCTAAGAAATGATCCCATTGTACACCCTATATCGTAGTCCCGCATCAGAGTCTAAGCTAACAGCGAACCGCTAACATTCAAGTAGTATGGTACGCCGTGTGCTCGCATACTTTGCCTCGGCGTGGTGGTTAAGTTGTTTGTGGGCGTGCCCGCACCCATCGCCGAACCGCGGATAGACTTGGGTCTTCGCCCGTCCAATGGCCCATGCTTATGTCGCCACTCTGAAGCTGTTGATAAACGATTTCGTCCGTGACCTGCGAGAGTTCCTGGATTGTCTTGTTAGCCGAAGATATCACAGTAGTTATTAGAGGCGCGTTTATCGTAAGAGGGGGCAAGGGGTTGGTGTTAACTATTATCGAGGAAAACGCTCGTCTTACAAGTCGTAGTTGTTCGTCACAGGCTCTTAGTTGCTGTCGATTCGCAGAGGTCGGACGCTGACCCTGGAGGACTCCCTCCCTGTAGTCAATCCATCTTTGTGCCGCTGCCTGGCGGAGGTAGATCTTCTGGGCTTCGTGTCTGCGGGAGTAGGCATCTAAAAGGATTCTGTAGATGATCGTTTCTGTCAGCGGATTTTCTTGGGCAATGGGAAATCGATGTCAACCCCGAGGGAAAGGATCTAACGCACTGCTTCAACTCTGCCTTTCTTTGCTCTAACTCGCCGCCTCTAGCTCGGGGCACTGTTACGTCCGCTGCACAGTTAAGGATGTGTTGACCATCTAGAGCGCACTGGCGTAAAGCAGCCCAGCCTTCGGTGTGATAGTCGGTTGCATAAGGGGGGTCGACCGGAACGTTGGCGATGTAATGTTGGATAGTTCGAAACTCGTCGAGGAGTTCGGCAACCCGTGCCGTTCGGTAGTCGTTGACTGTGTTAATTATTAGGGGATGTCTTTAAGAGGCCATCTCCCGTAATTTGACCTCGGGAGGCGTAGAGTATTTTTAGTGGCTTTTACTTACGTCCATCCATTTATACCCCTTTTAGGAAGTGACCTCTATAAGATGCTGCTCTTGCGATCGGATGCTCAACTTAAAACACAATGACGAATTACAATACGTAGGAGGTTAGACAATATCGTTCTGGCGACTTAATAGAAGCACCGTAATGGAAAGGGAGAATTTCGGATCTTGGGCGAAAACGGGCAATAATGATAAGGCTGCAGGAGTGTAGAGACTGCTTTGCACTTGGCTGATGAAGAAGAAGCGTCATGCTGAACATCTTAAGCAGCGACTTCACTTGGCTTTTGTAGTATTCATCGACTTATTACGGATCAAGCAGAAAAGCATTCGAAGCCCTCACGATACAGAGCAGTTCCATAGGAGGAGGATTTGCGCTGATACCCCCTCCCCTTTCGAAGTGCAAGTACAGTACGCATCACTATCAGCTCCGTATGCTCTGCTCACGTTGCCCGTTATCGAATCGGAGTTTATTATCGACTAGCAACTAAGCGGTACATAACTGACAGCTCAAACCTATGACATCCTAACTGAGCTGGATGCCGGCAACTCAGATCTTCTCCATCACTCTGGTAGAGACTCCTGATGCGTCAGGGATGATACTTGCAGCTTCTTGGGTAACCGACGCCACGAACCGCATTACCAATGCAGGAAATTCAACGCCCGTCGTCACGGCAGACCATATAATGGGTCTATTAGTAGGAAGCTAGCTGTAAGGACAGGGAAGCTGTCTTTGGGGGAGGGGGGGCTAATGCCAGGGGACATGATCGTAGGGTTAAGCGAGTAGGAGGCTCTTCGTAGGGCAGCACGGGTTGGCTGGAGTAGGAAAGCCAGGGCAAGAATTCAGCGGCGCCACATATTGCACCAAGATTCAAATGCAGTATAGACTGTAAAGTTCTCAGGTGTAATAAAAACAAAGCAGTGGAACTATTCAGATTTAGGGATAAAATGTCCAGCCAATGGAGAGCCGCCGCTGACCCTCAGCCACCTGATGGGCGGAGCTGAATGAATATTATTTACCCAGATTTTTTGTAGCTTAGTATTGCACAGGGTTGGCGGAAAGAAAAAAAAAAGAATATTTCACGACCCAGCTGCTACGTGATGCCTGTGATCTACACAGTACAGTTCCAAGGGTAGGTTTATAATATAAAGAAAAAGAAACGCTCGTGCTCCCGGCTCCTCTACCGGTCATCGTCATCCCACACTAGGCCCCGTGTTTGGCTTCCATCCCTGAACTCCCACGAGGTCCCATACCCATGGGTCGGACATTTTGAGGTCAGTGTCACCCTGGCGACTTACGCTTGCGACATTCAAAATTCCAGCCTTCCGGATGAAATACCTAGATGAACATATGCCCGAGTTACCCGTATGTGGGTAATTGTTGATATGCTTAGTTCAGATGCTTATGGCTACTTATGTGCTGATGCGTCTAATGCGTCTAATGCGTCGCATCCGCACTTGAAGATGTGGTTATTGATGACAGTTATTTACCGTATGGGTTTTATAACCCCCAGATCATCCTTCTCGCCACCACCTGAACGCCCGGATCCCAAAGAAATTGCGCATTTTCAATACGCATCTTCAGCTATAGCCACCCTAAGCTGGATTAAGATGGGGTTTCTGTATTTCTGGATTTCGAAGACCGGTCCCAGATTCCCAGATTAGAATAATGATCAAAGGTCCTGTTGATGCAAGATCTAAACTAGTGACACACGGAGACAAGGATATAATGACGAACCCAGGCCTCCACAACATAATGTTGTAGTCAGCATACACGAATCAGCTGTGCTGAACCGAACCCAACCCAGCCTTACGCCACGACCGCCTTACCCGCTAATCTTTCTCGGCAATGGCCTGTAATCGTTCATCAATCTCGTCCTCCGTCAGGGTTCTGAAGAACGGATCTGACCCCTCCTTACCGTCCGCTCGGGGGCCTCCAACGATTCCAATCTCAATCTCACCCTTCTTGAAATCCATGCTGAGGACCGTGCTTAACGTAGTAATTGCTAGCTCCACAACATCTTCCCATGTGCCATCTGCGTGATCCTTGTTCTTGAGCTTTTTCTCCAGGTGGTTAAGCGCTTCCTGCTGCTTGGGTCCCGCAGCCGTTCCTTTGTACCCCACGTAGTATCCTGCTGGATCGCACCTGTAGAGCTGCGGTCCGAATTCGGAATCGAGCGATATCAGCGTTGTTGCCACGCCGTAAGGGCGCATATAAGCCTGTCGGAAAGGGTCAGCTTCACGACGTCTCTAGCCTTACTATTGTTGACGGAGCCTTACTCTCTGCGTATAGACTTGGCTGATATTGGCAAGCCTCTTGGCTACGGCATCACATGGCATCTCGTATCCATAGTTGTATCTGAACTCGGCAGCTTCGCCCTGGGCACGCTGCGCAAACGCCCGAGCATCCGCAATGGATCCGGTTATAACGCAACCAACGGAGGGCGAAATCTGGAAGATGTGCGAGACGGAAGAAGGGTCAATCAACTTGTCCTATTGATTACGATTAGCTTCAGCGCGAGATTCAACGATATTGACCGCAACTAGGGTAAAGCTGAAAGTACGTACGGGAACTTTTTTCTGGGAAAGGACCACGGCGCAATCCTTGCCTCGGACCCCAATCGACATTATGTTTGCAGCGGTGATCGCTTTGAATGCATATTCTGAACGACTGATTGTCAGCTAACTTAAAGACTCCCCACATTGCACTTGCTTTCGCTTCAACATCTTCGGGTTCTTTAGATACCCATGACGGCTGAAGGTGACAAGATAACGACGTTCTTGGGACGTCTGAGACGCTAGAGACAACATACCGACTTGGTATAGTCTTCCTTGCTCGGAGAAGATTGTAATATGTCGGTCGAAACCGGCGCTGCCTAGAAGAAGCAATGATTATTAGCTCAGATAAGGTGGCTAGCTACGGAGGAGGGACGAACGCACCTCCCGACATGGTGAAGTCTTGTTAGGGATGAGAGCTGACGGTACTAATTTTCGGTGAGTTTGGAGGTAGAGTCGGGGACCAGCACTATTTATTCAAGGAGTAGAATGTCGATTTTCCCTGATTTTCCCTTTTTTTCTATGTGATGAGGGACGATACGAAGAAGTGAGGTTGAATCGAGTGGTGCAGCTCTATTATTAGCCCGGAGCTCTGACGCGCCAGGTTGGAGCCTTGGGATGCAAGCAACGAGCTATGACCTTGTGGGAAAGCTCGCCTTAGCAGGCTTAGGTAAGGCACTTTAAGCTTAGACCCATTTACGGATATTACTAAGACCGGTATCCGAAAGATGACCCCGGCGGGGACTTAGCTGCTTACCTAAATGGATCTTATCAACATTCTTATCAGATAGTTAGGTACGTACTGGGTATATGATAAGATATCAACCTCTTACTAACCGTGCACTTAATCCATCAATCCATGTCAACTGCAACAAGTTCTCCACTGAAAAGATTCAATGTGAAGGCTTCATGAAATTTTTATTGGCAGCAATTCCATCCATGGAATCTCATCTCACGTATATCCTATATCCTTGACTTAGCACATATGTATTGCTAGTCTTACACGTACGAAGACAAATTCCTAAGTTAAGCCACACTCTGAGGCAAGACAAAACAAGTTCAAGCCCGAAGAACTGGCAACTGTACGTGGATATCACACGGCAGCGTATCAATCTGCCTGCTCCTCTGGTTCTCTTAGTGGTAGCCATCACACACTTGAGCACACACTTGAGCAGCTGGTTACTGTATTGCCATTTCTACCCTTACTGATTGCCTTTATTTATCTTGCCTTTACCTTCACTTCACCTCATCAATGTCTTCCCTCCCCCAACGAGTTCCAGCATGGAAACGATTGGGTCTCAAGCTTAAGCCTGCATCTGAAGAGAGCCAGAACGCTACCCTACATACGGATACTGTTGCTCCGCCGGTGCCCAACCATCATCGGGAAAATCTTGCCGGCCCTATCAATGCCAATGTAAAGAGGAAATCTTCTGGTGTTCCTGCATTAGACCATTCGGCGAAAAAACCAAAACGAGACGCCTCTCAAAGCCAAATCGCCTCCACTCAGACACCATCAAAAAAGGCCAAATCTGTTTCGTTTGCTGCCGAGTCCACCCAACACGCCGGGTCTGCAGCAACTACTAGCAGCACACAAATCACAAACAAGCAAAAACAACCATCTTCTAAGAAAGCCGTCGCAGCCACAGTCAAGAAGCAAACTGCTGTTAATTTGGAGCCGGCACTTTTGTACTTACGTCAGTGGCACACATCTAAGGATACCTGGAAGTTTAACAAAAATCATCAGACTAGGCTACTAGAACAGGTCTTTGCTGATGAGACCACTATACCGGCGGCTGATATTAACGTCTTCTACGAATATATCCGGGGTTTGAAGGGAGCTGTCAGAACGAGGCTCAGGGAGCTTGCGTCTGGCACCAAGGCGCAGGACATGGAGTTAGGATCACAAGGGTTCCCTGCCTCGAGCAAAGATGTGATGGAAAGGAGACAGAGGGAATACGAGGAGGTCATTGCGGCTTTTCTACGTCAGCCAAGGATAACGGGGAAGCGACGTTTCGACGAGATAGACTACGTACTACGGACTTCCGATATGGAAATGCAACGTCGGGTTGTTAAGCGGATGCGCTGCGAGAACGTGTTGGATGAACTGTCAGACAGCGAGACCGAAACATTATCAACCACGACCACCGCCGAGGACTCAGAGGGGGCTACGAGCGAGGGGGCTATGGCTGCAGCTGATGATGTACAACGCCTAAGACTGAACGATGGCCCCCTGCAAAGGGTTAAGCGAAAGAGGAAGTCGCGAACTGTAGTCGTCGACGAAGATACCAGCTCAGAATCCGAGTCCGGCTCCGATTCTGATTCGGACTCCAGCTCAGGTAGCAGCGATAGTAGCAGCTCCGACGACGAATCTGGGGACGAAGCAGCGCAGCCACGATTGCGTACAGACGATGCCGACACGTCGTCTAGCAGCTCTTCCTCGGAGTCTGAGTCTACTTCCGATGATTCAGATGACGACGATTCCGAGGATGACAAGTGATCGGAATGAAAAGGCATACGTGTATTATTTATTACTGATCATAATAATCGATAGATCGCACACGTTCTACGCAAAGGATACCCAATTTCTCTTACGATAGATCATCAAATTGTAATAGAACCAATTGCAAAATTTGATACGGATCAATACGTTATTCCTTCCGCAATTACTCGGTGAACCATGCCATCCAAGCCTCCGTGACCATGAACACTTGTTCGAGTATCAAATTCAATCTAGACGATGACTACGCGTCTTATGCAACCGAAGCAAACCCCTTAATAAAACGCCATATGCCCTGTATACTATATGTCCGTATGGTAAGAAAACTGTGTTACTGTTTACCAGCTGGGACCTTGACCAAGAATTGTAACCGATCTTCCGTTTTACTGATATAGGGGTTCTTATATGGAAACCCCTCGATGGAGCTCTGCTCCTGACCCGCTATTTATAGGATATTCTGACATATCCTAAACCGTTTCATTTTTTAGGCGTCGATTGGATCCTCGAGATATTCGTAGTCGTCTTCGGGCGGCAGTAACCAGGCAGAGGCAGCCAGACTCGACGCAATCAGAACAGATACGGATGCGCTGATAGTGCACAGGATCCAAGACCAACCCAGGGACCAGCCAGGAATGATGAATTGGGAATCAGTGTCGAAGAGATAGGCCTAGTCCACAATGTCAGAAATATCTCGACAATATTTGAGCATCTATGCAATAGTGCATCTAATTGAATACCTACCACGATACCCATACTGGCAAACTCGACGGCGGCGTCAGCAAGCAAAAGGCAGCCGATCAACTTCCAGCCCGTCTCGCGCTTGTACTTGCCGCCGGCCATCACGACGAGGAAACTGATAAGGGTTGCGAGCTCGACGATGGTGGCAAATGATATGAGGAATCCGCTGCTCCTCCACATGGAGCAGAAGAACTGGTCGTCGCGGCAATCATCATCGTTAGGGAAGGGTCGGCACGAGGGATCATCGACGGAGGAGCAGCTCTGATGAAGTCCAATGTATTTCTTAAACGTCGAGCCCGTATCTGCTGTGACGGAATACGTGACCCAATGCGGCGTCAAGATGGACACTATAGTCATAATCGTTGCTACGATAGGTAGTTTGTGTCAGCCATGATGAAGCTGACGATATCCAGAATGACCATACGATTCCCCACAGCTCAGCTGTGAGCAATCCGCATCCTCTATTCGATTACATCATTTCTATCGAATAGAAGATATATTTCATCTATTCTTGCGACAAATACACTTCTCATAACGAAGAGTAAATGCGACAAGAATGACTTGGTCTAGGTGTTGTGAATAGATTGGGATGTTTCTGCCTGTGTGGGACGACGATAAGGAGATAATAATGACGTACTACACACAAAGACGCCGAGGGCGACGGAATAGACAATCGGGCGCGTCATGGCGATTGAGGACCCGGGGGTAGAGAGGAAGAGAAAAGAAACAAAAAAAAAAAAAAAAGAGGAGCAGTTATTTCCAGTCCTTCAGCTATGCGTATCCCTTTTAAGACGAATTCGAAGGTTCGTCTTCATATCAGATAGTTTGAAACTTGCGGTTCGGAAAGATGCGTTGGGCTGTGGGCTGTGGGAAGGACAGCTGATTTTGATTGTCGGAGAGACGGTCGACGACAGCTTGACGGTGCACGTTCCAATGCAGATCATGTGGCTGGCGTCTCTAGTGTAGTGGTTGCGCTGGAATCCACAGAGCCCACATAGCCCGTAATATTTTAAACTTTTAACCTGGACTATGATCTGTGCTTTTAGAAGGGTCTCTGTTAGCGGTCATTGGTAGATTGGTAACTCATCGCTTATCTTATCGATTCACTAAGTGTTACCTCCTGCCCCTCCAATACGTTCTGCGCATCCTATTTCTATTCAGCTACTTGCTGTATATTGTATTTCCAAGCTCACCTCTGTTTCTCTTTCCATAGAAGAACAAAAAATAACATGCCGAATAGGATATTCAATACTATAAAAATCGAAGTCTTAAGATAGTTATCTTATGACTAACTACTAATAGAACGATCGTGACATGTGCTACCTAAGCGGTAGTATCGTGGATGTCATCTGTTTCAACAATGGGCTTCTGCAAAGCATTTACGAGCACGGCACACCGCGTTTTCGTGGGATCTGCATCGCTCTATCTTGCCTGCGGTTGTATTTGGCTGGAGTGGTTGCTGCATATAAACATCCCACACCAACGTCAACACTACATACACTTTCCTCTCAGGGACTATCAGTATTACGAGATTCCACAAGCGCTTCGACGAGAATTGCTTTTCCGGGGTTACCGCGGACACTACGTTTACATGCGATTCCGAATACCCCATATGTCCAGATGCAGAGATGCTGCAGACTATTCAACTCTAAAGTTACCATTCGTTTATGTAGCGAGCTGCGCAAGTGCTGCTGCTTAGACACTCAGACATTCTGTCTTGAAAACTCGAGACTGGGAGTTGATTGGAGCTTTGCTTCTGATTTTACCTTTTAGGCATGGCATCAATCGTGGTCGGACAAGCAATACCCTTCGAGGGTTTAGCCCGATTCCGATTTGGAGGGCACCAATCGTGGCCTCTAAACGGGAGACGTGGCTAGCTTGGAGATTGCAGATCTCTCCTCTCCAATTATACAATACATCTACTATGTACATACATAGGGTTACTTCAACCGTCTGAATCGGATATTCGACACTACCGCCCTTTTAGCTCGTGAAGACGGTTGAAGGCTATTATGTACAAAAGAAAAAGGGTCCATTCACGATGAATCCCTCATTGTCTACGCTAAAGCATTGATCGACTAACAATTTAGTTTCGATGGTACCTACCTAACGTGGATCGCAAACGTTCGGTACTAAATGTGTGGCTCTTCTAGTACCTCTTGGTATAGTGTACATCTAGTAAGGATCTATAACCCTAGATTAGATGAAGGAATCTTATGCGGGTCATTGCAGGAAGTGAGCATCACTGGATTTCATGCCGCTTCTATGCCGCAATCGGCATACCATGTACCGCAAACCGCAAACATATGCACTCAAGAATCAAGATGTTGATATATAATCCAAATCTCAGTGCCGGAGATGTAAGTAAGGGGAGTAAGGGTAAGAAGCACGCAAGATCCGATCCCCTACACGTCAACATTTAGCCCTCCCTTGGTGCATTATCTTGCTCTGTACCAATCCGCATTCGGTCAAATGATTCATCAGATAACTGAGACAATCGGCCCTCCTTGCAAGCGTCGGACTTTACTAACCTCTCGGCGTTCGCGGCCCGGCCGGACTGTGCTGTAGCTATCAGGTATTTGTAAATATCTCCTTGTCTGCATCTCAAAACTTTCTTAGAATGGTTTTTTCAATATCTTCTAACCAGAAAATCTGGTCTACTCGAGAAACAACATTGACCCTGGAGGTCGCGGTGTCTCCTAGAGGTCCTTACGAGGCGGCAAATTTCACTAATAACACCATTCGATATTTTACCGTTTTAAACCTATCCATGTCTAGATAAGATTCTAGATAAGATCTAAAGGGATCTCAAGCGCTCTAGTCATCTTCCTCAAAAAATACCTGTCATATACATTGCTATGGACGGCTAAGCTTATATCTCGTGGTCCTATGCTATGACCACACTAGAGTCATTGAACTGGGCGAATTCGTCTTGTATAGGTGTAGGGGCTACATTTGTCATTTTCAGCGATCCTTAGCGGCTAGCCTCTATTAGTTCAGCAGCCTATCAGCGTATGATACTGATATGTTACGATGGTCGAACACCAACCCGTTCACAACAGCGAAGTCTATCTGTTAGGATTAAGACCGCGTCCTACTGTTCCACCTCCTTCTCCGCCTTCACCTTCAACGCCGAGAGAAGCCGAGTCAAACAGTACTGCTATTGAAAAGCTCTGCTTAGACGATGTCGAGAGCTTCGAGGATACTTCGGAAACCGCCTCGCTTACAAAGCAAAGGATCTCGGGTGCCGTTCATGTTCTAAGCACGGAAGCGACCGCTCTCCGGAGTCTTACTCATTTATATAGGACTGATGCGACTGCCATAGAAGGGTTTAGTGCCGCAGTGGGAGCTATAACGAAACACGAAGGTGAACGAGGAAAGTTGGTCGTAATAGGAGTTGGGAAGTCGGGGCATATTTCAAAGAAGTTGGTCGCAACCTTCAATAGCCTCGGAGTTCATGCGACTTTTCTTCATCCTACTGAAGCTCTTCATGGCGACCTTGGTAAGATCGGGAAGAATGATGTGGTTCTCTTCATTACATTTTCGGGGAAGACGCCCGAGCTTCTAGCTTTGCTGCCACACTTAGATGTGACGTTACCAGTGATTGTACTCACCTCGCACACCCGACCAGACGGGTGCGAGCTCATCCGACAGCGGCAGGATGCGATACTTCTCCCGGCACCTATCCATGAGTCTGAGATAGTATCGTTCGGCGTTTCAGCCCCTACAACATCTACTACTGTGGCTCTCGCGTTGGGAGACGCGCTCGCGGTGGTAGCATCTCAAGAGTTACATCCAACGGTCACATCAGTTTTCGCAAAAAATCACCCTGGTGGAGCCATCGGCCAGGCATTCAGTAAACCTCGTCACATCCGCGATATTGCAATCCCACTATACGAAATACCAAAGTGGCCAAACTCAAGCGGCGAGGCTTGTGGCGCGGATATACTAAAGCTCGGCTATGATTCACAATCCGGATGGGCTCGCGTTAATGACGCGATCGCCTCCCCGAGGCGTATTAGACGGCTTGAAACAGCACATATGGCATGGCGGATATCTGATATTCCAAACTTAGTAGTCGAAAGGAGCGAATGGATCAGCATCCGCGCTGACACAAGGATATCGCAGGCCGCAGAATGGCTTAGAGAGCCCCTAGTCTCGCCCGATTGTAGCGAGGCGGTTTTTAGCGAAGATTCTATTCTGGCGGCCGTGGAAAACGGAGAGATAATTGGTGTTCTGGAAGTCGGTCATCTTTTAAGCTTGCAGGAGTAAAGAGCGGAGTATATTTAGAACGGGTCTTCGTTGGGTATAGACCAGCAGACGAGATGATATCTATGGGTAATCCTAAGTAGGAAAGACCCCATATACCATAGTCAGGAATGCTTCTTAAATAAGGTTATGAACGGGATGGATAAGCATCTTCACTTCAGGCCTCCAGATACCAGTCATCGGATGACCAGCTTATGTTTTTTGACTACTCACTTCCTATGACTGATTTGTTCATGAGTGTATACTACGATATAATAACTTCGAGGACACATAGTAAGCTCATTAAGCATGCGCTAGCAATCATCTGCTAGTTTAGCAATCTTTCGAAAACCTAGATGCCAACGGAAAGTTGGAGGATGAGCAAGTATTTTGCTTATAAACCGTATTCAAGGAGCAATAATTTTTGATGGGCTGGGCGGGGACAGCTTAAATTGTTGAAGAATTAAATCTCCTTAAAGAACACGAAGCAACAGATCTTTCTCAACTGGTTCCAAGTCGATATAGGGGAGATATTCAGTATTGGAGAATAAGTACCTATTTAAGAGCAACCTGAGAGCTGCGCCGCCGATGCTTGTCTTAATACAACGAGGCGGAAACTCTGGAATGGTGGCTGCAAAACTGAGAGATACCTACCTACCTGGGTACATAGTCCGGTCTGCTGTATCATGAATACTCCGGTGGTATCCTTCCCGGCGATAAATAGGGAAAAATGAGAAAGGACTAGATCACGCCTCAGACTCCGTGGTAATAAATAATGTACCGTTGAGTATACTGATAAAGTAGGTAGCATCTAGGCAGGTTGGCCCAAAGCCCCAACCCGAGGTTCATCTACCATGGGCACCGTGACTAGGATACCGCTAGCGGACCGGGTGGTGGTGAGGTGGACGGCAGGCAGCTCGGTGGTCTGTGTCACGGTGTACGGGATGCTGCTGCTCTAGACCGTCGTCATCCGGACCCGAGGTGGATGCTGGCTGTACTTGCTTCTAGGGCAGAAGACACGGATGTGGAGAGGGAGGAGGTGACGCTTCTGAGGTTCTCGCTAAAAGGGGGTATGATAAGGAGGTTTGGTGGACCGTGCAAGTGGGAGTGGTCAACGTGAGGAAGGTCGAGACTATCTGGACGGCGGAGATACAGGCTGGTGTTATTAGTCCCAGGGAAGAGGAGGCCATTACGAATTACTTCGGTCGCACCGTATCCTCTCAAATTATGATTTCTTTCGCTCACGATCTTCTACGATGGTTATAGGTGATGCACCCTTCACTAACTATACTAATTTGGTGCTCTTAGTAGACGGATATTTACGCTTGGTCTCGCCTGACGGTTCATTAGAAGAAGTCAAGGTACCTATTGTATACGTACAAAGTATATACAATACATTTTTGAACACTGCAGCCCCTATATCCATGTATGCGTTTCCCCCTGTATGCTCCTTTATATGGCGGTATAAACATGGTTGATATTCTTGGTGATATCAAGTCAAATATAGTGTACACTTGATTATAACGATGAATAAATTTCGAATGGACTCCATAGAGCCATAGGGTTGTAGCGTATGCGGTAGTTTGTCGACGTTACTGTCCGCTAACCAATTATATCAGTGGGGAGGGTGATAATGCGATGATGAAGATGACGATGGTGGTACGGCCCTGGCTGCTGCTAGCCAAGGTGTTGATAAGGATACTTTTACGTTCCGATCAAACTCCCCTTCTAATTCCATCCGCCTCCTCATGTCCTCTTCTGAATCGTGGTGGGGTGGTCCCATGAACCCTGCTCCTGCCATGCTGTCTATATCTTGATATGACATTCCTCCTATTTCTGCTCTCGTCCTTTCGTTTATATGTTGGTACGGTGAGCCCTCCATCTCCCCGTGGGGCACTGTCCTGGCATGTGTATGCGTACTTGACGTTTGTGGCGGTGGTAAGCATGGCGTCGAGGCATCCCAAGCGTCTCTTTCGTATGGCGGGTATTGATATCCCCCGGATAGGCTGGGTGTTTCTCGATGGTCGGACGGGTACGTCGGTATAGCATGCACGTTAGCTTCTACACCCTTTCCACCACTGTTCGCGAATTGGGCGATATCGCTTGTCGAAGGTTTCCTTTGGGCTGCTTTCCGCGTTCTGTACATCATGAATAGACCAGCACCTAATGCTGCTAGTCCGGTAACACCTAAAGATACGCCGACGCCAATTCCAGCTGCAACACCCCCTGAAATACCGCTTCCACCAGACGCCAAACAACTGGAATTCCCTGTCGCTACATGGTTCGCTAGTGCGTCTGCCACGGAGGCATCGCAGTTATTCGCACTATTCGTTGCAGACCCAGTTGGGGTGGCAAATATCCAGCCGTTGACAGGAATCGCCGCTACTGTTGTATCTTCTGTGACGCTGGAACTGGTAATTTTCCAACCGGGGTCCCTCTGAGCATAGGTAACTACAGTCCCCTTTTTAAGTTCCGACGTACACTCGCCCGTATCTCCTGGGCCCTTGAATTTTGCGAAGTTATATTCTCTACGGACAAACAGTCAATACACCATTCCAAAATCGCATATCGTTAAACGCACAACGGACAACATGCTACATAAGTACTTGAAGCGTCTTTAGCGGATACTGTGGCAGTATAGTAATCGCTCGGACATGTAATCGGTCCTAGACTAAGTATCGTCTCTCGAATGGGACCAAGTCGTTCTTGTAACCACCAGGTCGTCACTGGCTTGGGGTGGCATGTGGTAACGCCTCCAACTGACAATCCATAGCCCGGGTCCCATGCAGCAATGATGCTGGGTACGAATTTCCAAAGGGAGTTCTCGCAGCCGGGTTGATGAGGATGCGCTGTCGGAATAGGGATCCAGGAAGTTACAATACCTGTATTCGTCTCTGGGAGCCGATTCATTGTCGGTCACGAAGCACAGAACAAGAACACCATAGAAGACCAACTATGGAGGGGAATAAAGAGAAAAAGAACATGGTCCAGCTCTGAAAATATGCCGGCATGGGTGGGCCATCTCACTATTTTATGAGGATTCCCTGGAAGCTGACCCCTACAAGGTAGATTCAATATATGCTAGACATAACAGTAACGGAATGCAATTGCAATTGGTGGCTTCTATTTCTGTCGAAATCTGTACCATGTTCGATAAGCCTCGCTAGCAATGGGGTTTGCATCACATAGTCTACATACCTGTCAGGAATAGCGCTGGGGTTGCTGAGGCGCGAAGGATCCGAGCGCGAAGGATAGACGGATAGAATTGTAGGGCTAGGCGTCTTTCCAGGATACCACGCGACGCGGAACTCATCCAGAGCTCGACCACGAGATGATGTTCTTTGTGTACCTTAACTACCATAGGTAGTTGTTCTCGCTTTAACATCTCGACCGTCTCTAGGTGTAGGTATCCTAGCCACTTACCTATCAAGTATTACCTGTCTTGATCCCAAAACAGATTGTTCTCATAGATCGAGGATTGGTAAGACACTGTGTACTGCAGTAGGATCGGCCAAGACTCTAGAACTGCAAAGGCAAATTGATTTGATTCAGCTCGACAACTGCAGTCAGCAATTATGGGCCTGCCGGGGTGTTCTGCTAAGATCCAACGCGGTGGTGGAGGCGAAGTCGTGACCGGTAGAAGCGCGATAGGGCTGAATCTGCATAGGTCTTGTTTAATGGGTGCCATGATCTACCGAGTAACTAACTTCGAGGCGAAAGGGGCAAGTCTATAAATTGTACCGTCCCATAACCATCTGAATATTACACCCCCTTAAACCTCTATAAACTCTATAGCCCTCTTCTCTACTCTATGCCTAAGGTTTACCTTAGGATGTTGTGTTGAATGCGAGTAAAAATTTCCCATTTGGGACACATGCCTTGCTATCTTACAGATAATTTTCCTGCCTTATAAAGCAGTAAATAGGAAAGGAATTTATGCGTTTGTTTGAGGCTTCTTTATTACTTAGGTCTCGAGGGTATTGAGAGTATTGTCCAGCCGTGTAATAGCAGTAAATTCGGGCTATTGTAGGGGTGCCCTCCAGTTTAATAGGGGGTAGGTTGCTAATATAATAATAATTATTATAAATAATAAAAGTAGTATAGAAACATGGTGCGATGTAAACCTTAGGCTTTTGTGTTGCCCGGGGGGTAACCTCTAGTCTTTAAATTTTAGAAATTGAACTTTAATTGGTGCTTCAGCTGTGGACAATGTCCCTAGCGTCTCCCTGATTACATTCCTTTCTTCGTCGTTCCATCCGCAAACTTCGATGACCTTTGGCCGAGTATCCAACGGCCTTCCGTTAACGGCATTCACCAGTCTGTCTAAAACGGCGTTAACCAGTCTACAGCAGCCAAGTAAGAACGGAGAGCCAGAATCAGGTGTCATAATTATAAAGACTTCAATCCCGGTTTGATATATCTCAAGGATGCCTAAACAACTCACTTTCCACCCATATTTTGGCATTATACTAGGAGCACGGGCACATCAGCAATGTCTAGGCGACAATCCCGCGTCTCACTCCTCAAATACTTGGAATCAAGAGGGGATGCTTGGGGCGGAAGTGGATTGATGAGATCCGAATCAACTGCTAATCTTATAACTACTGCCGCTCAGGGCCTCAGGCAGGGTCAGCCCTCAAAGCTTTAGTTAGAGGGATTATACAGCGCCGGCGGCTCGAAGATCAACCGGGTTTTGGTACAGCTGTACTTGGGGAAGGTAATATTAGCTATCCAGTCCTACCAATAAATTCTGCAAGGAAGAAGAACCTTGCTGGTAAGATACGAGCCTTGGTTCAGGGTAATAAGGATACAGTGAGATAGGCAGTACAATAACAGATTAGGTAGCATTACCAATACTATGTATTTGCTTCACTAACCAAAGCTTTGCGTTCCCTTGGAAAGACCTATGCCATCTGATATTAAGTGTAGTTAGTGAGAAAAAGAAGCTAACGCTTTTAGCTGCCCACTGTGTACGGATCAGAAGCCCTGGTGCACGGGCCAGGTTGGATCGTTGTACTATGTACCCTGACTACCAAACCAATATATAGCAATTTATCAGCATTTGGCTTTCACGAAGCACGTGAAGGCCGCTTGGCCCAATGGTAAGGCGTCTGACTACGACCGAGCATGAGTCAAAACATGCTTGATGAGTTATCAGGAGATTCTGGGTTCGAGCCCCAGGGTGGTCATCATTTTTGCCTATTTCGGCAAGAATACACTATGTGCGAAGGGTTCGCTTAATATTTAGCTATGTAGTCCTTCGGCTAATTCCATGCATCTTTTTACTCAATCCTTCGTTAATTATTTTATAAGCAACAATTGGAACATGCCGCGGTAGAGGCTTATATATGTCAGAGGGACAGCGCTTAATAATATGCCTCTATGTAGTAGGTGTCTTTGATTCGTTAAGTCTATGGATTTTCTAGCTTTTAGTTACTTCGTGCTTCATGGCTACCTACCTTCTAGCTTTCTCTTAAGCACATAAATGAACCTAAATCGCCGAGCGTGATAGCTATTCCTGGTTCCCTAATTGCCATGGGAATGTTGTCCCAATGATACTTGTACGGAGCGAATCCAACTTGGCCGGACCTGCTAAGAAAGTAGAATAACCAGATTCGTCTCTTATAACAGCGCATAACATGCAAATAAGGGTCAAGTTGTCGTTGAGAAGAAAAGCATAGAGTCATGTTCTATAGTAAGACATGTTTAGATGTCCTTACTAACATTAGTGATTATTTCCGGTTGTGTCAGCGTCAGCACAACTCTCGCAACCCGTTCCGGCACTTATCTGCTCGAATCTTGTTAAATGAAAACTTACCATACTGAACGATTGTATTCATCGCCATTCTCTAATTTAACAACTGTTTTATCACACAGATCAGATAGTGACCGAATCAATTTCACATTTATACTAGGATGCTTCATAGGGCACAGACGTTCCCTCTCAATATCGACAAGCCAGCAGCCGGGAACAGGAACAAGACATGGACAATAGCTGAAATATGTCCATCCTCTAACACGGAACAGAAGCGGGTGTGCTATCCAAACCTGGAACCATGGGCACCACGAGATGGGCAACGGAATCTGTCTAGCGAGTTAGAAGATACCATCAAAGAGCTTAGAGCAAGGGATGGCTTCTTAGGGTCTAAAGAAAGTCTACGAGAGAAGTGGTCTATCAAGTTTGAGGCAGCCAACAGACGGATGGAAGAGTCTAATACAGCCACCGTGCCGACTATCATGGTGGTGGCCTGGGATGAGAACGACCGCGAATATAGCGTCGAGGATGAGCAGCTATGGAGCGAGGCATGTAAGGACATGGTCAACTTCTTGAGGGGTAACGGTGCTGCTTATTTCGGAGTTGAGATCATACACTGGGATCAGTTAGACTATCAAGTTGTGACATGAGCTTACATATTTATATCTTCCTCAACGTTTACGGAGATAGGAAAGGGGGGTGTTGGACTAGTGTCGAGTGGGTTGACGATACATTTATGAATTTGATATTAATACTTAAAGCTAATTTCATAACTTTCATGTATTATTAATAACGGACAAATTTCAATTGGCCATAATCTGAAACTTATTGTCCACGGCGGCGGACCGAGAATTTGGATCCTAAACCCGGGGGCCGATCTCGGCTCCGGAACTTACCTAACCTGGATTCGAATTCGAAAAAAAAAAAAAAAAGAAACAGACGTCACCGCTCCTCTAAATAAATTTAACTTTCATTCCCCTCTAATGTAGCCCAGCCCGTACGATGGCGGCCGACCACAAGCGCAAGCCGGCAGAGACCAACAAAAACTACAAGGGTTTCGTAGCTGGCGTCTTCTCCGGCATCGCCAAGCTATCGGGTAGGTCTCTCTCTTTCTTCTTCTCCTTCCGACAAAAAAAAAAAGAAAAAAGAAAACCCGAGAAAAGATAATATTAACGTAACATAATTGATTGATCTATCTATAGTCGGCCACCCCTTCGACACGGTCAAAGTACGCCTACAAACCACCGACTCGACACGCTTCAGCGGCCCGCTCCAATGCGTCGTCCAGACGATCCGCAACGAAGGCGTGCGCGGCCTGTATAAAGGCGCCACGCCCCCGCTCGTCGGCTGGATGTTCATGGACTCCATCATGCTGGGCTCGCTGACCGTGTACCGCCGCCTGCTCGCCGAGCACGTCTTCTACCGGCATCTGACGCCCCATCCCACCTCGACGCCGAATACCATTCGGCCCGAGAAAGAGGGGCCCATCGCCGCCACCTCCCACGCCGCAGCGCACCTGCCGTCCTACGGCCACGGACTCGCGGGCGTTCTGGCCGGCTGCACGGTGAGCTTCATCGCGGCGCCTGTCGAGCACGTCAAGGCGCGCCTGCAGATCCAGTACTCGGCCAAGAAGACGGAGCGGTTGTATTCGGGGCCCGTGGACTGCATACGCAAGATCTACGGCGCCCACGGCGTGCGCGGCATCTACAAGGGGCTGCTTTCGACGCTGATATTCCGGTCCTTTTTCTTCTTTTGGTGGGGGTCCTACGATATCTTCTCGCGTCTCTTGCGGGATCGGACGAATCTCGGTGCTCCGGCTATCAATTTCTGGGCGGGCGGGCTGAGCGCTCAGGTCTTCTGGCTCACGAGCTATCCTAGCGACGTCGTTAAGCAACGGATTATGACAGATCCGATGGGTGGGAAGCTCAATGACGGGACGCCGAGGTTCAAGACTTGGTTACAGGCGGCGCAGGCTGTTTATAGAGAGGGCGGTGCTAAGGGGTATTGGCGAGGGTTTTTGCCGTGTTTCTTAAGAGCGTTTCCTGCAAACGCTATGGCTTTGGTGGCCTTCGAAGGCGTTATGAGAGCATTGCCATAATAAACGAGATACCATGCATTTGCATTCACGGCGTTACGCAGCTCAAAGGTTTAGAAAGCGTGTATGGACCAAATCACAACAAGGAGTCTAGATATTTGTTGGCAATGGCGATTTTATTCCTGAGAATTCGAGTCTATGTGTCATAGCATCGAAGTGCCTGTCCTACGCAGAGTCCATGCACAATCGCCAATTTTCCCCGTTCGTCATAATTTCATGTCCATTTAGTCCTCATCCTCATCAGCCTCGTCGTTAACGACGTTGAAGAACTTGAGCTCGTAGACACCCTTGGAGGTAGAGACGACACGGAGCCAGTCACGGAGCTGCATCTTCTTGAGGAACTTCTTGGTCCTAAATGCGACAAGTATTAGTAACTTTATATTTGGTTATATATGTTGTAGTAAATCGGCAAAGAACTCACAGGTACTTGAGGTATCTGCCGGAGAGCTCGGTGTGGGCGATGATCTCGATCTTGCCCTCACCAGCCTGCTGGATGACGATGAGGTCGCCGAGGTTGCCAGTGCGGCCGTCAACCTTGATCTTGTCCTGGAGGAACTTCTCGAAGGCAGCGGTGTCGAAGATCTTGTCGCTGGCGGGCTGCTGGGCGTTGATGACGAACTGAGGCGCATTGTAAGAAACTGCTGCGTTATACTACAGGATTGGGTAATGATGGGAGAGCTTACCTTCTTCGTAATCTTGGCTTGCTTGCCGGACTTCTTCTACATGATGAAAATTTGACCTTAGCCTACTGCTTCACGCCATCATCTCGCTGATTGCCAGAGAGACTGGGCCAACAGCAAAGCGGTGTCATGTGATACATACTGTTTGAGGAGCCATTGCTACTGAGTTTGATTATGAACGCAAAGAGGTCAAATCCTGCGTCTGTCGATTGAGGTGGTTGAGGGTTGAATGTTGCCGGCGAAGCGTTGCGATGGATGCTGCTGGAAAAAGAGGGAGAAAAAAAAAAGTTCGTCGAATTTTGATAGAGACTTTTTGGTGTATCGAAAACGTAGTGGGGGCTCGGTAGGCCGATAGGGCAAGCTAGGGTGGTCTGTGCTTTTACTTATTCTTATCTAATATTACCTAACTGGTTACAGTATGATCTACAGTGTGAACTACGTACCTGCGGTCCACGCCAGCCACGCCCGCGATGGTCTCCAATTCGGACCCCGCGCAAGCCGGTGTGGCTCGCGTCTGCAGCCCCAGAGCCCGCAGCCCGCAGCCGAGATATCTAAAACAGACTAGGATAAGAGCCTCGGCCCAGTAATCCGACTTGGCAAGCTTCAATGAATTTCATGTAACACAGGGTGAAACTTGGGATACTCCTATGAATACAGAATTACCAGTAAAACTTTCATATCTATCGTCTATTACGTCAGTTGTTTTATTTGAAGCTCTGGGAGTGAATAATCCCGACTTCTCTCCCCCCGTTCTTCCCGTATACCGCTTCTTTTATTATTCCTATATCCTCGATTTCTACCACTATTATGACATCTGATATCAAGATTCCCGCCTTTGAGGCAACCCCTATTGACAGCATTGCTGAGATTGCTGCTACAGTCCGCCAGTCGTATCAATCTCAAAAGACCAAAGATGTCGAGTGGCGGCTTGTACAGCTCCGAAAGCTGTACTGGGGCATTACGGACTACGCTGAGAATTTCCAGGCCGCCTTGAAGAAGGATTTGAACAAGGCGCCTCACGATGCTATGTTGTCTGAAATCCACCATTTGATTACGGAGCTTAACGTAGTTCTCAAAAAGTTGAAGGACTGGGTAAAGGATGATAAGGATATCGAATATCACTGGACCTTTTCAGCCATGAAACCACGTATCAGAAAGGAACCTCTAGGCGCGGTTCTAATTATTGGCCCCTATAATTTCCCTCTGATGCTTAACGTCGCTCCGCTCATTGGTGCCATTGCGGCTGGCTGCACCGCTGTCATTAAGCCTTCTGAGAGCGCTCCTGCGACTGCCATGGTAATGAAGGAGATGATTGAGAAGTATCTCGACCCGGAGTCGTTCTTCGTTGTCAATGGAACAATCCCGGAGACCACTGCCTTGCTCAATGAGAAGTGGGATAAGATCTTCTACACCGGCGGCCCGACTGTTGCAAGAATCATCGCAAAGAAGGCCGCCGAGACCCTTACGCCAGTTGCTCTCGAGCTTGGAGGTCGAAATCCTTCGTTCATCTCTAGATCTACCAACTTAGCGCTAGCTGCAAGACGCCTCATGTGGGGGAAAACAATCAACGCGGGCCAAATTTGCATGTCGCAGAATTATGTGACCGTCCAGAGAGACTTAGTCGAGGACTTTATCAAGCACCTCAACGCGACCTACAAGGAATTCTACCCCAACGGTGCCAAGGCGAGCCTAGATTACGCCCGCATCGTTAACGAGCAGCAATTCGACCGCATCAAGAAGATGCTCGACACTACCAACGGCAAGATAGTCTTGGGCGGAGAGACGGATAGATCTGATCTTTACATCTCGCCAACCGTTGTTCTCGTGGACTCTACCGACGATCCCATGATGAAGGACGAATCTTTCGGTCCCATATGGTCGATTATCCCCTACGACACTGTCGACGATGCTATTAAGATCATGAATACGGTTGACCCTACACCTCTGACGCTTACAACCTTCGGGTCCAAAACTGAGAACGAAAAGAGTGAGTGTCCGAACCTTTGCCGTGCTAAAACCGTGCTAATCATACCCGGCAGTCCTTGGCCACGTTACTTCCGGCGGTGCCACTATCAACGACGCATTCATGCACGGCGCGATATCCACGCTGCCTTTCGGAGGCGTCGGCGAGTCCGGTACTGGCTCATACCACGGCCGAGCGGGATTCGACTGCTTCACGCACCGGCGTACGATAGTCGAGGTGCCGAATTGGATGGACAAGCTGCTACGCCCACGGTATCCACCCTTCTCGGCGCCCGACTTCAAGCGCCATATCTGGATGACTAACCCCAAGCCTAATTTCGACCGCGACGGCAAGCCCCTTTCCGGTCCCGGCTACTGGCTCTGGCTCATCTTCGGCCTCGGCGGCCCCACTGCCAAAGGTGCGTTAATGAGGTGGATTGTTCTCCTTACCTCGGCGTATGCCGTATTTTCTCGGTATCGGTCTGGGCGCGGTCTTGAGTTTTGGAAGTGATGTGCGATATTGGGGTTTGCAGCGACTTTAATGTAAGGGGTGTCCGGATGTAAGGGATATCACTTCCCAGCTCTCCTTGTTATCAAATTTGTTGGTTTTGGTTCGGCTAACTGGTATGACTAGGTGATACTCCGCGAGCGAAGCTCTAATTTGTACCCTGATTTGCGGAATCGAATTTTATTTGTATTCGTAAGATTGTTGCGCATACGACGAGTCTATCTCGAGTATCGAGTTACACTGTATTTTGCATGTGTATAGCGATGTTCCTATTAGTCTTGAACCTGTGGTATTATCAAACAAAAATGTCTATAAGGAAGAATAGGGACTGAAGGGGTATAATTGTAATGAAGATGGCCAAGGGGCGTTTCTAAGGAGTATATAACGAATTCGTGTCCCGATAGCCAGTCCGGCTACATATACATATATCATTAGCCTATGATAGGTATCCTACAGTATCGAATGTAGTAACTGCCCTTGATCGGCAAAGTAAAGATATTTATCTCTGTCCCTATCGTCCCACAAGAGTATCTGCTAGTCGCCGACCTCGTTCACCTCCAAGATATAACGTCTCCTCGCCATCACCATCAGCCCTTGCCATCTCGACCGCTTCGTGGTAACCCGTAATTACCATTTCCTCGTCCACACGTAGGCCATGCTCGATAAGAGCATTGATAACACCCCTAACCCGCGCAATCTCACGCATCGTACCAGGCGGTATCGCATCGTTCTGGCTCGAATACACATTCAGTCCCACGCTCTCTTCGATCCGCGTAATCCCCGGCCCCGTACCCTCAGTTGCCGCGCCCTCGCCTTCGACGTGCTTGCTAACCCAGATATACCCGTTCACACCCAGCACAATATCAATCTTCTCCGCATCGTCTGCCGCGGCGCCTCCGCCCCCTGCCGCACGACCAACATCCAACACGAAAGTCTGCCGTTTCGCGCGGATCACACCGCCGCCGCCGCCGGTGCCGCTGACAGCCATGAACACGCCATTGCGCAACTTACCGAAGCGCAGACTGCGCGTGTGCAGGACCGCGCCGCCGTCCGAGTACAGCTGCTGCACCTCGGCGACTAGTAAATCGCCCTCGCTGAAAAACGTCCGGATCTGCAGCTCGTCGGTCTCGGTGCGGCGGCGCTGGATTCCGCCGGGCAGGTTGACGGCGCTGAGGGGTAGTTGTGCGAGGAGCGAGGCGCCGACGTCGACGCGCCAGCGCTTCGCTTGGACTTCTACGATGCGGCCGACGACTAGGTCGCCTATTTCGGGGGTGTAGCGTGCGCGGAGGGGACGCACGGAGAGGAGTTTGTTGGTTTTGGAGAGGGTGCCTGCTACGGAGGATATTATCGCGGGGGGGTCTGCGGTTGTGTATGTGCCGTGGCCGCTGTGAAGATTTACGGTATGAGCTTTCTGCTTGCTTGTCCTTGATACCTAGTATAGGAGGAATGTATTATTTAACTCTTACCGCATCCATTGAGGATCTTCCGTGATCACCTCACCGGGAGTCACGATCGAGTCGTCGCCTGTCCGTCGAGCTCGCTTGGCCGGGCGCATCATGGAGATGTCGCCTTCCAGGTCGACACCACCCTCCGAATCTGACTCGGAATCGTAGCTTGCATCCCGTGGGCTGTGCGCCGGTAGCAATGCCGGTTGGAGAATTGTGATTGGCATTTTCCCGGCGGTGGTATGTGACGGGTTTAAGGTTGACGATGTGGTGCTGTTTTGGTTACTGTTACGTTGTTGGAAACATTTTCGTCTAGAGCTTCATGGACCCTTGCAATTCCCAAAAATGCATGCCCCGCTATCCTCTTAGTGCCTTTAACCCTGTCGTGTCTGCTATCGATACGCTAATCAAGACCACTAACATGCGGTATTGTCGGCACAGCTACCGGCTACGTATTTCTTACGTAAGGTTACCTAGGTATCTAGGTACCTATGTATTAGGCATCTTTGACATGTGATCCCGTTTCAACTCATCGTAGCTCATCTCACGTATTCCATACTTGCAGCTTCTTATCTTCAGAATACAGTATTCATCAAACTAAAATCTAAACATCGTAGTCTTACTGTACTTCTACGACAGATAATGCTAGGGCATTGTAAGCTCTCGTAGCCATACCGGCTAAGGTTGAAGCTTTCCCGAAGCTCTCTAGATCTTCGATTTACGTCATCGTGAAACCCGGCATAACACAAACGGGCGGGTCGTTTCGGCAATCATAGCAATATCTTCATGTTCAGGAGTTAAAATGGATGACTATAATTCGGATGCCTTCGTCAACCGTGACGATCCTATCCCGACCATTGTCCTCGACGGTTCTTCACCACCTAGACCACGTACACCTTCAACTTTGGGAGATCACTCCGAATATGAGACTCCATCCCGGCCTAAGGGTTTCCGTGGTCGTTTCTCGGCTTTTAAAGAGAAAACCAAGATCCAGGATCAGCTAGTCGAGAAGTTGTTATCTCAGGTGGTGCCGCTCGACGACGCCCAGCTTCCTCAGGATGAAGTCTATCAAGAACCTAACACCCCGGGCGCGGACCGTCCTAATTTTAATCTGCCTACCATGTCCAACAACTTCCGCCGCTTCAATGCTCGTATCGGAGTTGTTTTTGACTTTCAAGCCCGCGTAATCCGTTTACTATCTTGGAGACAACCTACGCACACCATCTCCTTTCTCGCTATATTCACATTTGTCTGCCTAGACCCCTATCTCCTACCAATTATTCCCTTGACAGCTCTCCTCATCTGTGTCCTGGTCCCGAGCTTTGTAGCCCGTCACCCCGCAGCCGAATTCAGCTTGTCAAGTGAGCAGGCGATAGGGTATTCGCCCCATGGGCCTCCGCTAGCCCCTGCAATTACGGTCAAGCCTGTCAAAGAGTTGAGTAGGGACTTTTTCCGCAACATGAGGGACTTGCAAAATAGTATGGAGGACTTCAGCCAGCTCCACGACAATATTATAAGGCTAGTAGTACCGCGGACGAATTTCAGCGACGAAGCTCTGAGTAGCGCGTTGTTTGTATCCATATTCATCGTCTGCGTCTTCATGAGCATTGCGTCGAATATACTACCATGGCGATTGATTTTCTTATCTATCGGTTGGGTGGTTATATGTACTGGCCATCCTACTGTTCAGCGGCAGCTTCAAGCTGCACATGAGAAGCATATACATCCGCAAGAGGAGAAAGCTAGAAGCTGGATAGAGCAGTGGATTGAACGCGATGTCATACTCGACAACGCGCCGGAAGTTAGGGAAGTGGAAATCTTTGAGCTACAGCGCCTCTCGAACGCGGGTGAATGGGAACCATGGTTATTCAGTGCGGCGCCTTATGACCCGCTGTCGCCACGACGCATCGCCGGAGATAGACCGGTTGGCACGCGTTTCTTCGAAGATGTACTTCCTCCCAAGGGATGGGAGTGGAGCGAGAAGAAGTGGGCACTGGACCTCTGGAGCCGTGAGTGGGTAGAGGAGCGCATCATCACGGGCGTCGAAGTCGAGACCGAGGGCGAGAGGTGGGTCTACGATATATACGACGAGCAGGCGGAAGAAAAGGTTGGAGTGATCGAACAGCCTACGTCAGTCAAGGGAAAGGAGAAAGCAAAGACCCCGCAAAAGCCTAGTTGGGAAGAGGGGGAGGATAGCGACGGCAGGAGAGGCGAGTGGAGGCGGAGAAGATGGGTACGATTGGTAAAGAGGAAAACCCTTACCGAAACCCCTATATGACTATTTTCTATCGCATTCCCAATTTTGAATAGAAGTCGACCAGAAACTATACTGTTCCAGCAGCGAAGTGTGATTAAGGAAGTTCTTGCGACTACGCCGACACGATTCTCTAGCCACTGGGGAGCGGCAACAAGATTTCACATAGATATCAAACATTGGAAAGCATAAGGAACTACATTCAAAGGCCGGAGATAATAATATGCTAATCAAATAATGCTGTTTAGGGGTAATTTCGAATTACAATTTTTCTACCTACCCAACTTGCCAAGTACCTATATACCTATGATAAAGAGCGCGTCGTATCTAAGTCCAATTAGAAGCGCATTATCTCTTCTCAAGTTCCAGCGAAGCCATGATCACGCTCAGGGGAACGCTATTATTACTTACGTATCCGAGCTTACGGCCCCCCTGTATTACTTGCGTTGCCCGCGTTGCCTGCGATGGTCGCAGTGGCCGCCACGGGCGAACGGTAATGGTTCCAAAACCACATCCAGTCGGCGTCAGGACTCGGCGCGAGCCCCCTCCTATCAAGGGCAAACATGTGCGGCGCAGTGACCCGGACTCCGTTCTCGACCAGCCAGCGCGGGATCGCGAGGTCATCGCACAGCTCGACGGCCCAGTTCATGTACTGCTCGCCCATGTCCGCCAGCGGCGGTATCACGCGCATGTCGAGCATGACCTGCAGCGCGCCGCGGTGGTTCGCGGCGATGGCGTACACGGCCGCCGTCCGGAGCGCCGACGTTCGCGACCCCTGTATCACCTCCGGATACACCCTATAATAACAATAGACGAAGCGCGCCACGACGTGCACGGGCTGCCGCGTCCGCAGACACCAGTACAGCAGCGGCTCGTAGCCCTCGGGCCATCGCCGGGTACTCGAGCCCGGGCCGCCGATTATGTTGCTCCAGAGGATCCGGGAGTCGAGCACCACGCACCTGTATATCGGGTCGTCGTTGTCGTCGTGTTCCCATAGGCTGCGGCAGGTTTGCGCCAGATGGAAGTAATCCCGCGGCTCGGTGATGTACTCGAGGATCGTAGCGTAGATATCGCCGGGGAGGCCGAGGAGTGGGGATGGGTTGCCTGACATGGTTATTAGATTCGATTTTAGTTAACTACCAGCTAATGGTCTATGTGGTATTTCTTTGTCTATTTCTGTTAATGTTCAGCGAACAACGGGGTTTGACGTGCGGCGATGGACTGGGGTGTAGACTGTTAAATACGGCCTCGATACGATTGTATGGTTCTTTGTCGTGGTAATTGTTCTAGTATGGCAATATTGTCTTATAACAATGTGATCGTGTTAACGACAGGCCTATGTAGATACGGGTGTGGTGTTTCGATGGGATTATTATGTGCTAGTTTTTCCAGAAAGTTTAAGCGGAACCAGATATTCGCTCCTATTGCCGGTATGATTGGTAACGCACTAGACGATGGCATATCTATATATATACTGTATATTCGAGGCTATCGTAAAAGAAAGAATATACTAGAAGGAATGAGGCGGTCTTAGCCACGTGTTTAGGTCTGAGACTCTGAGTACCGATATATGTTTCCTCTTACATAGGTTGAAAGGAGTTGTTTTAGAGCGGTAACTTTCTCGCACTGTCTCCGCCTGCGTTCACGTTAAATCAGTTACAACTCGAAAGCCAGCAGTAACATAATGGTAGAGTTACGATCATGTATATATACCCAAGGTATCTTTCACATTTCTTATGTATTTGAAAATTAGGAAATGAGGGTATCCTAAGTCGCACCGAGCTCGCTCCCGCAAACCTCCCTACCCTAATAGGAGAGTATGAATTATAGATCCTCTATACAGGGGGGGGGGGGGGGGGGGGGGGGGGGGGGGGGGGGGCGCGGGCGCGCGCGGGGGCGGGGGGGGGGGGGGGTGTGGGGGGGGGGGGGGTGGGGGGTGGGGGGGTGGGGGTGGGATGT